CAGCCCGTGGTCAATTCACTAGGGCCCTTTATCTCCCGAGTCTCAATCACTCAGTCTCATTTTGATCCACACCGTTCTCAAAGTATATGCAGAGGGAGAGGGGCTGCTGAGTAATGTTCTCACTAGGAACAGTGAGCCTGTTACTCTGGCAGGGGGTGCGGTGGAGGGTGGGCTTTGTGCTCGGTCATTCTCTGAACAAGGTGTGTCCAGAGGCATTTCGGGAGCCAAGGCAGGCTGTGATGGAAACACCTGTGTCTCCCAGACTTCACTTATCTCGGTGTCTCCAGTGCCTAGCAGAAAACAAGCCATCACACACGGAGCAGGTATTGTGACACAGCAACATCATAATGGCTTCCGTTTAGTTAACTGCCCCTTTCCTGCCCTGTCCCAGGAAGGAGAGGGGCCTCTTGCAATGGAGCATAAGAGAGTGGGGGTGGGGAGAAGAGATAAAGAGCATATTCCAGAGGTGAGTACAATTGCAAAGCTGAGTCAGAAAGGGAATGAATAGTCACTGGCTTCTAATTTGCAGAATGACAGAACCTCAGGGTTCAGGAAGATGTTAAAAGTTATTTCTGCCATCTCCCCTTCCTGATCCCCCTAGGGACTGGTCTCCCCTTCCTGGTCCCCCCTAGGAAAGCTCTGCCAAGCACATGCCTGGGACCTGCCACCAAGGTCCTTGCCAGATCCGTATGGCCATTAGAAAGTTGGACTTTCTGTTGACTGGAAATGCACTAATTGGGTCTAATTCGATCGGTGGGATGCTAGAGAACAAATCACCTGCCCTAGAGAGATTTGAAGCAAATGATCATGTCCTCTCTGACATGAGAAAATTTTCCTTTCCAGGCTAAATACTCACAGGCGCTTTTAACTGTGTCCCTTCTCACACGGTTCCCAGGCCCTTTATTGTGTTTGTGTGCATCGATGGCTCCCCACTTTGCTTGGAGCTCTCCAAGTATGGAGCTAGACCACCAGCTCACAGCAGAGCAGAGTCATCCTTTCCCTCCTAGGAGAGCTTAAATGTCTACAATGAGTTCCTAGGATCAGAAATTAGTACTCGGAGTTCAAGGGGGTTCCAGGACTTTTTGGTTGAGTTTGTTTTAGTCAGAAGGAGGCAGGGAAAAAGAAGAATTAGGTTTCTATGATTGGGAAGAGAGGGTCGCTAATATTTTATGAATACTTACTACATGACAGGTGCTGCTAAACACTTAACATGAATTATCTCATTTCATCCACTCAAAAACCCTGTAGGTGGTACTGTTATGATGCCTCTTTCACAACTGAAGAAACTGAGGCTCATAGACACTCAGGGTTTTCCTGGGTTAGGTGGTGTATGCTAAGATTCAGGCCAGATATTAACAGGGAGAAACAGGTGGAAATTTGGGGCTTCAACAAAGAGCAGCATCTGGCCAGAGCTTATGCTTCAGAAAAGCCGGGATAACAATGAAAATGGGAGTTAGGGGTGAGAATAGGACTTCTAAGGCCTCAAAGACCAAGAGGGGAAGAAAGCCATCCAAGGGTGATACAGAAGGATATGATGTACAAGGGAGTAATAATAGTAACAGCTATCATTTGTTAAATGTGTACTAAACTCGGTGCTTTGCATATGTAATCTCCTTAATCCTCACAACAACCGTAACTAGGAATGACTACTATTATGATCACTGTTACAGATGAGGAAATTGAGGCTTATCTAGGTGAAGAGACCCACTGAAGTTTACACAGCTGGTAGGCATTGGTGTCAGTTTTTAAATTCAGACTGTTGACTCCAGGCCCGTGGCCCTATGCTGACTCCCAAAGGGGAACACTGTTGGCAACACTTAAGGAAAGGAACTTTCCCTCCCAAGAGATGGGAGAATCCCAAAATTTATGAGGGTACTCAGGGTGCAGGGGTGACTCCTGGCAAGACAGGACAGAGAACCTGGTTCTGGAAGAGATTATTTTGCCAGACTCTTCACATCAGCAGTGCCAATCCTGAGGTTATTCTAACTTGATGTTTCCTCAGAGAGGCATTCCTGGAGGCCCAGGAACCTCAACAAAATAAATACCTATGGCTAGATATGCTATCTCAGAAATAGAAACCTAAGGGTTAGAACATCATCTGTTTTTATGCCTCTGTAGTTGCTTCTCCTTTTCTTTTCTTTTTTTCTTTCTTTCTTCCTTTTTTTTTTAATAATTTGCTTTCTCTTGGTTCAGTGATTCTCAAGCTTTAGTGGCATCAGTCACCTGAGGACTTGTTAAAACACAGATTCTCTGGACCCTCATGCCAAAGTTTCCAATTTCGTTAGTCTGGGGATGAAGGTTGAGAATTTGCCCTCCTAACAAGTTCCCAGATGGTGCTGATGCAGCTGGTCTGGGGATTACATTTGAGAACAGTGGCTTTACTTTATTAGTAAAGCTACTTTTGAAAATTTCCAAATTGACTTGGCTGTGAAAAGGTAAGTACAGAAGAGGCAAAGGACTTGCCCATAGGCCAGAAGCAGCGGGATGGGGTTGGGGGTGCAGACTGAGTGCCCAGCCAGGTGAGTACTGCTGCCAGAGAGCCTGGATAGGCAGGAGAAGACGGAAGTCACAGCCAGAAGAGACAGGAACAAGGGCAAGCGGAAGGCCTGAGCTGGGAAGGGAAGTCAGTCTGCCTGAAGAAAAGAGATCTGGCAAAGGCAGAAGTCAAAAGGGGCAGAGCTCTTGTCCAAAGCTGCAGGCTCCTGGCTGGGCTGCCGGGAAAGAACTAGAGGAGTGAGGAGGCAAGGAGCCAGGAGTGAGCTCTTGGGATGTGACCTGTGACGGTATTCTGGCGATCACATTTCAGCAGCGACTTGCTGTCTCCAAAGCCTTCTTCTGTCTCCTCCTGTGGTTATACCGATCAGTCATAAAGTGGCCAGGGGTTGCTCTCTGAAGTAAAGTCCTTGCAGCAAGAGAACTGGGGACAGCACTAAATGCTGTTTCTGGCCCTTAATGATGTGTCCCACAGCAGAAGGCAGGGACAGGGCTAGGGCGCTCACAGTCCTGCAGTTTGACCTCTAATGTTCTGCCATCCCTAGGCTGCCTTTCTCCCTCACGGGAAACTGACTCAGCTGCAGTGAGTACGCAGCGCGGAGAAGGGCCTTTATGCCTGCAGCCCTGCACTAGAGGCTGGCTGCTTGGCTGCCCATTGCTCCTCATGGAATCGGGGTGGCTTGGATAGGAGGTTCCTTTCCCTTGATACCAAGAGATGGAGCATCTCTCTGCAAGTTTGCATGCCATTACTCCTTTCAGCTGTGGGAGCAAAACTGTGCACATAAGCCCTCCCTGGGCCCTGCCTACAAGCACTGTCCACCTAGCTTGAGCCAAGTCCCCGTTTTCCCTTTTGTGCCCTCCGTCCTGTTTCTTGTACATGTCTGTCCAGTAAAAAAAAGGATTTATTGAGTGCATACTAGATGGCAGGCCCTGTGCTGCGGATACAGGTACGAGGAAAAGAAATTTCGACCCTCATGGAAGTCACAGTATGGAGACAAATTATAGCCTTGTAGGATAAATGCTGACTTCTTAAATAGAACTCATGCCCTCTCAGGGCCTTTGTATTTGCTGTTCCTTCTATCTAGAATGTTCTTCCCCAGATCTTTGTATGGCTCATTCTCTCATTTCCCTCAGGTCTCTTCGGAGGCCTTCCCTGACCTTCTTCTGGAAAATGGAGCCCTCACAATTCTCTGAGTCCATTTACCCCATGTAATTTTTCCTTATAGTGCCTCTAACTGCCACATAAATATATATGTATATTTGTATATATATATGTTAATAAATATATATACTTTATAGTGTCCCTAACCACTGTGTATATTTACATTTATTAACTATATATATATATACACACATACACTTTTTTTTTTCTGCCTCCTATACTAGACTGTAAGCTCTGCAGCTAAGAGCAGGGCCCAGTCACTGCTGAATTCTCAGTTCAGAGAACTAGTACCTAATAGGTACTCAATTTATATTTCCCTTCTGTTCATTCATCATGAGTGATTGCCTGGTTGGAACTTTTCTGAGCCTCTCCAGAGTCATCAAAATGGAGGATTGAGGCCTTTCTGCTTGGGCAAGAACATTTTCAAGCCCACCTCCCCTAGCTTTCTACAGACTGGATGGTCCCTTCAGGACAGGCTGAGCAGGTTCTAGCTCCCCACCAAAAACTATAATTTACTGGTCATTAATTATGTACTGGGCACTTCAAATCCGTATTTTATCCTCACAACGCTCTGCAAAGTCAGCATTATCGCTCTTATTTTAAGGAAGATGAAATAGGCCCAGGGAGAGTGACTTGCTCAGAATCACAGCACGATACCCACGAGGGCTCTCTGGGAAAGGTCTACTAGGCTCCACCGCCTACCCATGTTTCTGCCACGTCCCTACAGGCCTTTCCCGTGTTTCCACTGCATCCTCTACCCCAGCCCTTTCCTTTTCACCGGACAGTGGGCCTGATCTAGCCTGGCTGCTCCTGGGCAGTGAGTGTCAGGGGTGCTTTAGTTGCGTGCAGGATGGAGAGGCGGCTGATCTATCTCAAGGGTCAGAGCTTTCCTTCCCCTGCCCTCCCCACGGGCCCGGCTGCTGGATGCCCAGTGGTCCATTCCAGGGCCTGCAGCGATAGCGCGTGCTGGAGTAAAAATGATGCGGGAAGGAAGGAAAGCTTCAGTCAATGGACCCGCGGCACTAAGGGGCGAGCACTCCCTGGTTTCTGCCCCTCCCGCCCAGCAACGGACACCCTCCACCCCATCCCGTCCCGCGGCAGCGCGCATGCGCAGGGCGCTCCGGACACCCTCCCTCCTGCGGGCCGCCCTTTCACCCTGGCAACCGCGGCGCGACGACGGCGCGCGCGCGGGCTGGGCGCGGACCGGGCGGGGCCGGGCGGCGCCGGTGCAGGCTGAGGCTGAGGCTGAGGCTGAGGTTGAGCCTGAGCTGGCGGTGGAGAAGAGCGGTGGCTTCGGGAACGCTGTTGGCGCGCCCGACTTCCGTCCGCCTCGCCGCACTATTTTTCGACGCGGTTTCGGTCCCAACGCACCTAGTCCCTGGCCATGGACTCCCAGAAAGTAAGTGGGGGAAGGAGGCGCGGGGCCGCCGAGGTTGGGGGGAGGGTGGGCGGGGCGCCCGGGACCGGGTGGGCGGTAGGCGAGCGGGGCTGGCCGGGCCAGGCGGGCTGCGGCGGCGGCGGAGGGCGAGGCTGTCGGGTCCCCCCACCCTCCGCTCCTTTCCCCGTGAGAGCAAAGCGGCGCCCACCAGGCTGCGGGACCGCGCCCGGTGACCCAAGCTGGCCTTTGGCCCTGGGCCCTGGCTCCTGAGGGGAAGAAGGGAGCTGTCCCCATTTCTCAGTCATTTTCTGCAGCGCTGTAGGCCCCCTTTGATTCCCCAGCTTCCCCGCATGCGAGCGCGGGTTTATCCCTCCTTAGCAGAAGGGGTCTACCTGCTGACGCCGAAGCTGATGCTCCTTCCTCGACTCAGTCTTCTTTCTTGGCCCAGTACATACTGCTTTAGGTCAGGAACCAAATCTCCGCGCCCCCCGCTCCCACCCGCCTCGTGACCCGTTCGGAAGCAGGTCTTGGTGTTTAGTGTTAGTTGAACTGGGAGAAGAGACAGCAGTCCCACCCTCTTCGACCGGTTTGTTGCTAGTCACAGTTACCTTAACGGTTGTTGTGGCCTGTTGTATACTTTCCGAACAAGTTAAAGAGAGGATATACACAACTAGTAATTTCAATTAAGGAAAAAAAATGTTTCGAGAACATAGCCAATGTTTTGAATACAATTAGAGTTATTAATATTCAGTCATAATCCCTGTATGGAAATCAACCACCCCTGTTCTCTTTGTTAGATAGTAATTGAAGTATAGTATAGTATAGGAGGCGAACACAAGTGTAATTAATAATGTAGCAGGGAAAAACAAGGGCATATTCAAGAGGCCATTATTTTCTATTATTAGATGGAAAGCACTGGAAAAACTTACTAGAACAATGTTCACCTCCTCAGGGAGCACTGGGGACACGGGAAAATCGTGTAGTGATGTGTTAAGCATTGACTATTACAGTATTTTATTAAAGTGCATATGATTTAATTGTATGCATGCATCTTGAAACTCAATTGGGTATACTCAATTTTCATTTCCATTACTATTAGACATATGTAAAAAATTACATTTTGTGTATTTTGAGTATATATATGTTTAAAACATCTCTGCCTAAATTGGTAAAACATTTCACAGCTTATTTAACTTTTCAGGTAAAAGTCATATGATAGCTGAATGGATGTTAGTTCCTGGCAAGTGGAAGGGCAGAGACTTGGGTTCCATGCTGCTACTTACTGGCTCTGTGATATGGAGCAAATCACTTAACTGTGATTAATCTATTTCCTCGTTTATGCAGTGGAAATAAGAATATTTTATAGAGTTACTGTAAAAATCAGGTAAAATAATTCATTATGAAAACAAAGTGTTTTAAAGTTTACAAAGTACTAAAATACTCTATGTGTTGTAAAATATAATTTTAAAGAGTATTTTAATATGGATCATCTTATTTTGCCAGGGCATGCATTATCCCTCACTTCAATAAGGACTCAAGAGTTGGAATTTGTGGCTCCTGCAAGATCCTACCACTAGCCATAAGACTAAGATCTGAACTTATTTGGTCTCATTGCAAACGGTGTTCTTGAGTAGCTACAAGCACCACGAGCAGTTTCCCCAGAGGTAGCAAAGAATTAGGTGTTCTTTGTGATAACTTTGAAAATCAACTTCTTGATGTTAGAAAATGTGTTGAACTTCATTTCATTTGTTGGTATCAAATATTTCTTTTTTTTTTTTTTAAGATTTTATTCATTTATTTGACAGAGAGAGACACAGTGAGAGGGAACACAAGCAGGGGGAGAGGGAGAAGCAGGCTCCCCACGGAGCAGGGAGCCCGATGAGGGGCTCGATCCCAGGACCCTGGGATCGTGACCTGAGCCGAAGGCAGACGGTTAATGATTGAGCCACCCAGGCGCCCCTCAAATAATATTTCTAATAAAAAACTATTTTCTTCTGTAGCTTAAAACAAGTATCTGGTGTTAATGCTTATAACCAATTTATTGCTATGAATTTTAGTATCTTTTTCTCATGAATTACTGCAGAATCAATTATATACCTCAACTAATAATGAACTCTGTATTTCTCTTTAAGTAGTACACCCCTGGCATGATTTTTCTTCCTTGTTATAAAATGTTACAGTGACCGTGCCTGGGTGGCTCAGTTGGTTAAGCGTCTACCTTTGGCTCAGGTCGTGATCCCAGAGTCCTGGGATTGAGCCCCGCATCTGGCTCCCTACTCTGGGGAGAATCTCCTTTGCCCTCTACCCCTCCCCCCCTGCTTGTGCTCTTGCTCTCTCTTATGCTCTCTCTCTCACACACACTCTCTCAAATAAATAGATAAAATAAAAATAAAAAGTTATAATGAAAATAGTAGCAGGGATGGTACTTCAGTCATTGTAAGGAAAATGGTAATGTACTGCAAGTGGCAAATGGTGAGGATGGCGTGAATATACACCTGTTAGTAAGGCATTGGGATTTGGGCTTTAAATTCTAAAGAGGATGGCTTTGGAGCCAGGTCTCCAGTCTTTCTATCAACTATGAGCTGAATGAGCTTGGGTAATTTGCTGTGTGTCTCTATTTTCTCTTCTATAGAATAGAGATAACAATTGTACTTACCTCAAAGGGTTATTGTGAGGATCATGTTAATTTTTAAAAATCCTTGGTGCCTAGCACACATTAAGTACTGTTGGCTGTTGTTATGAATTTCATAATCCCAACTTCAAAATAACTTTCTCCTTTTGTTGATAATTTGTATAACTATTTTTCTAATCCAATCTACCATTTTTAACCTTTGTCCTTAAGTTTTAAAATATGTTTTGTGTCCTTATATCTGTAATAAGTGATTTCATATGGTGGTGTCAAAGAAGAGTTGTTAAATCCTAATTGAAAGAGGATTGGGAGTTCTGACTCATGCAATCTGACAATAGGGGTTAAGTTAACTGGACAGTCTTACAGAAGCTTGATGGTGGCTAGTCAGCAGATGGATTAGCTTGACCAGCTGCTTTTTTGTCTGTGAAAATAACTTGGACTTCAGTGTTGTGTTAGCAACAGATGCTCTGTTTGAGTAGAGGAAGAAAACGTAATTGCCTTGGGTATGTAAGGCATACTGTTGGATACAGAAAACCACAGTATTATCTCCTAGAAATAAACAGAAGGATTTTGTTTATATCGAGTTTCTGGGACACTTTTGTGAACAGGATGTGTTATGGATAGGTGGCTTTGTTTGATACTCAAACCTTTTGATTATGTCCTTAAGTGGTTTTAAGATAAAATCCCAAAGGTTTCTGTACCCGATTAAATGCTTATGTTCAAAGAAACCGATGAAACAACAGACATTTACACCTTTCTAGAATCTTGGCCCTTAGAATTTGATAGTTTAAGGTTTTGCACAGGAGATCATTTGTGTTCATAGGGGTTGCTGTTTCTAGGAAAGGTACATGCTGTAGGATAATAAAGGTGGAGAGGAAGGGGGAGATGTTGCCAAGAGCATACATTGTAAATTGTTTGGTTTCTCCCACTTTTTCCCCCCGCCGCATATTCTTTACTTTGTACTTGGAAAGTGGTAGTGACCCGTGAGGGTTGACTATGCAAGACCGGACAAATGTAGACTGGGGAGATTGAACTGAGTAGGGGGAGTTTTATTTTGTATTTTTTAATTTTTTTCTTTAAGATTTTATTAATTTATTTGACAGAGAGAGAGAGACACAGCGAGAGAGGGAACCCAAGCAGGGGGAGTGGGAGAGGGAGAAGCAGGCCTTCCTGCGGAGCAGGGAGCCTGATGCGGGGCTCGATGCGGGGCTCCATCCCAGGACCCCGGGATCATGACCCCAGCCGAAGGCAGACGCTCAACGACTGAGCCACCCAGGCACCCAGAATAGGGGGAGTTTTAAAGCATGACAAGCTGTAGCAAGTAGCTGTATACACATGGCTTCCTTATCCCAGTTTCCTCCTCTACCCTGGTATTTGCTCTTCTTTTCCTTCATATTGTACCTTAGCAATTCAGAGACCTCCACCATATCCAGAAAACCAACCATTTTCATGTTCCAAAATTGCTTCTTCTCAGTCCAAAAAATAGTATTTCCTAAAGAAAGAAAAATGAAGTCAGCACCCCTAACCCCTGTGTTGTTCAAGGGCCCTTGATGAGTATTGTTCTGCATCCAGTATTGTGTTAGATTGCTTTAAACCCTCATGATAGCTCTTATTCTAGTTGCACATCTATATGGAAAACCAAACTCAGAGGCCAACAGACTTCTTCAGGGTTGCACACTAGCAAGTGATAGTGTGGATTTAAGCCCCGTCTTTCTTCACAGCCCAAGCTTTTTTCATTACCACCCTTCTTTTCTGAATCCTTTGTCTTTAATGGTGATATGATTAAATAAAATTTAAGATGTTAATAGGAACGAATCCCTATAGTTTGTTTTTTTTTAAGATTTTCTTATTTCTTTGAGAGAAAGCGAGAGAGAGAGAGAGAGAGAGAGAATGCTCGTGCATGTGCACAGGAGCAGGGGGAGGGGCAGGGGCAGGTAGAGAGGGAGAAGCAGAGTCCCTGCTGAGAAAGGAGTCTGACCTTGGGCTGGACATGACCTGAGCTGAAGGCAGACGCTTAACCAACTGAACCATCCAGGCGTCCCTATAAAGTAGTTTTTTTTTTTTAAGAAGCCAATTAAATCTAGTGAAAATAGTTGATAGAAAGTAATAGAACATGATTTATATAAAACCCTGGAATTTGGTCTGTCTTGATGCCCTGATAAAATCAGTATTTTTCTAGTGTGTGTAAATGTGTGTGTGTGTGTGTATCTGTATCCCCTCTCTCCAGCTCTTTTTCTTTTTTGAAGGAGGGTCTTAGCTTTCTAAAGTAGAGCTGTGAACAGGAAAGTACAAGTAGAGTTTTATATACCCTACCCAAATGCACCGCAGTCATTCCCGTGGAATGGATCAAAGTAATCTGGGATATATAGGCGTGAGGTACCCTCTTCAAAGG